AAGATACCAGATACAGAGGTCCTCTCCAGAGCAGGCCTATCATCAGTTTACACTCTGTTGATGAAAGCCCAGATGCGCTGGGCAGGCCACGTTGTAAGGATGCCAGACCATCGCATCCCTAAACAGCTCTTCTATGGTGAGCTGTCTCAAGGAAAGCGATCGCACGGGGGACAAAAGAAGCAATACAAAGACACGCTGACAGCACCTCTCAAGTCCCTGGATATCGACACCATCTCTTGGGAATTTTTGGCGCATGATCGACCGACATGGCGTACCCTGGTTTACCAGGGGTGCCAGACATATGAACACAGGAGGACAATCTTGGCACAAGAGAAGCGAGCACTCCGTAAAGCCAGAGCTGCAAATGCTGAAGCAACAGTGTCCACTTTTCTCTGTTCAGTATGTGGCAGAACATTCCGTGCTAACATCGGTCTCATCAGCCATCTACGGACACACCGTTGATGGCCCACAATCCACAAGATGTCAAGGTCTTCACCGAAAATCGATGGACGAACAACACAAATTCGACGGGGGTTAACCCGGGCTAAGCCCAAAGTGGCTTCTCCGGGGCGAATCCACCAACGCGCTCGCCAGGATTGTACAAACCCCTCAAAGCAGGCGCCGTGTGAACGCAGCCCGGGGAGGGGCAGCGGGGTCTACGCCTTCCGAGCGGGGCTCAAGGAGCCCCTGGCGAGCCGCGAAAGGCGCAGCGCCGCCCTTCCGAGGCGGCTGCAGAAAGCGCAACCGAGGCCCCCCTCTTGGCGCCCTCTCACCCCGGGACGCCTTATTTTCCCGCCGCTTCAAAAAAAAATAATAAAAATAAACCGATTCCTCCCGCTTTATTCTTTCTTTCTTCGAATATAGAAAGCGCCTCCCCACCTCCCCCGTTTGCCGGGGGGGTCCCGCTTTTGGTTTTGCGCGCGCGGGACGCTTCTCTCCGGACGCTCGCGCGCCCTGCGCTCTTGGGGACGCGCGGAGCGCCTTCTGGTCCGTCTCTCCCGCGCCCTGTCCGGCCCTGCCCTTCCCCTTCCCGGCGTCCCACTCCGGCTGAGCCCCGGCTGGGGCGGCCTCCAGCAAGCGGAAGGCGGCGGGAAGATGGCGGAGCCCGGCGGGGCCGAAACCTTCGCCGAGCGACCGTCCACGCCGAGCAACAGCAGCCTCAGCAGGTGAGGACCGGAGGAAAGACGGATCCCTTCCTGCCTGCCCTCCCCCCCCCAGCCGTCTCTAGTCCCACCTCCTTGGGGAGGGGGGGAAGGGATGGCGCAGTTCCCCCCCCTTCCCAACTCTGCCCCACACGGGACCGTGGTTCCCCCCACGACGGAGAGCTCTCCTCGGTGCCCAGAGGACGACGCCCTCGGTGCCCTCTTTCGTCCGGGTGCTTCCCCCGCCCCGCAGCCGTTTTGCATTTTTATTTTGATTGCGATTCTCGGGATTTCGGACCCACCTCTGGAAACTGGGCGGGGCTCTTGCCAGGAGGCTGTCGGAGTGTGTGTCTCTGTGTGTATGGTGCTGTAGTGGCACGCCAGGTTTAATTAACTAGGTTACCGCATTAGCCCGTTTTCTGCCTCGGCACGGGATAAGGAGCCGTACCCACCTGCTGGCTGCGGCACTCCAGGCTGAATTAGGGTAGAGCCCAGCATAATTAAAGCTAAATGGAAAATAGGGTGCTGTGCAAATGCGTGAAGACTGACCTGGTTACTTAAGTTGTGTGAGTGTGGGCAGTGTAATCCTGGGTGAGGGTGGATCGTCTTCCTCATCCCCATAGCTCCATATTCTTGTCCTTCTGTATCCATCTGTCAGTGGTTCCCTTGTATGATGAACTCCAGATCTGCCTTTGTAGGGATCTGTCAGGCTGGGGATGATGGGAGGTGTAGTAGTAGTAGTAGTAGTAGTAGTAGTAGTAATAGTAATAGTAATAGTAATAATAGTAATAACAACAACAACAACAACAACAACAACAACAACAACAATAATAATAATAATAATAATAATAATAATAATAAAGTTGGAAGGGACCTTGGAGGTCATCTAGTCCAGCCTCCTGCTCAGGCAGGAAACCCTATACCATTTCGGACAAATGGCTGTCCAGTCTCTTCTTAAAAACTTCCAGTGTTGGAGCATTCACCGCTTCTGGAGGCAGTTTGTTCCACTGGTTAATTGTTCCAACTTTCAGGAAGTTTCTCCTTAATTCTAAGTTGCTTCTCTCCTTGATCAGTCCATCGCATCTGAAAAGTGACTTGGGAGACTTTAGGTCAGTGTTTCTCAACCTTGACAATTTTAAGGCATGTGGACTTCAACTCCCAGAATTCCACAGCCAGCAATGCTGGCTGTGGAATTCTGGGAGTTGAAGTCCACATGCCTTAAAATTGTCAAGGTTGAGAAACACTGCTTTAGGTCTTCCTTCCACCCCATCGTTGTTCTGCCTGCCCCTAGAAAGGTTTTTCCTCCTGTTAATTTAAGGTCCTCAGCTCTTCCCCATCCCTCGTTTTGCCCTATAAAGGTGGTCCACCTTCACCTTTTTATTGCAGTCACATTTGTTGCTGTATGACAATTCCCAGCAACCCCAACTAGTGTGACCCAATATCTGGAGAGCTACAGGTTGTCCTCTGGTTGCTTTCGCACAAAATGTTGATCCCCCTTGCTAAATTAACCCAACTCTTTTTGCTGTTGCCTAGTGGTTGTGCCAATTTTTATAACCTAATGGTTCTCAATCTTTTCTTCACCATGGACACCCTTTAAATACCTTTTGTGGCCACAAACCTCCAAGGCTTAAGATTTAAATCATAACATTTCTTCAACCCTTCATGGACCCATTGTGACAACATTGTGCCCCCCAGGGATCCGCAGACCACAGGTTGAGAACCACTGACCAAAGTATAGTTGTGGAGCTCTTGGTGTCCTCTAAGCTTGTAGATGTTTCTTTACCCAACTAGGTAACATCATCAGTGCTAGTGAATGTGGGGTTTGCTACTGTATATAAACAGGGAAAATGGCTAGAAACCAAGAGATTGTGAGTTCTAGTCCTGCCTTAGGCTTGAAAGCCAGCTGGGTGACTTTGGCCCAGCCACCCTCTCAGGCCAACCTACCCCACAGGATTGTTGCTATGGGGAAAATAGGAGGAGAAAGGATTATTAGGTATGTTTGCTGCCTTGAGTTATTTATAAAGTAATAAAAAATAATAAAGTTGGGTGATGAAACATCTGCAAGCAAGCAACCAAGCTCAGAGAGCACCAAGGACTCCATAGTTCAACCCTCAGCTACAGATATTCTCTTCTATTAAAAATATGGTGGTCCTAATTAAGTTAAAACATTCTTACTTATTTGAATATTGCTATGAAACATCTCCAGGTATTTTGTATTGTGTGAACCCAGTTGCTATGCAGCATAGGTGTCCCTTTATCTCATTATGTGATCATGTCCCCTGCAGCATTATCTTTTCTGCCTTCCCTTGGTTTTTTTTTTATATTTCCTATTTTCCTCTCTCTGGGAGGTCCTGACTGTCCTCTGCCTGCATTTTTGTTGTGGGAACTTAAAGGAGGCCTACTGGGTAAGAGGAAGGACCAATTAATCAATCAGAATAGAGCTAGAAGGGACTTTGGAGGTCTTCTAGTCCAGCCCCCTGCGCAAGCAGAAGACCCTATACCATTTCAGGCAAGTGGCTGTCCTGTCTCTTCTTAAAAACCTCCAGTGTTGAAGCACCCCACAATGTCTGAAGGCAAGCCATTCCACTGGTTAATTGTCCTGTTAGGAAGTTTCTCCTTAACTCCAGGTTGCATCTCTCCTTGATTAGTTTCCATCCATTGTTTCTTGTCTTGCCTTCTGGTGCTTTGGAAAATAAATTGACCCTCCCCTCCTTGTGGCAGCCTCTCAAATACTAGAACACTGCTATCCTGCCCCCCCCCCCCCAGTCCTTCTTTTCTCTAGACTGGCCATACCAAAATCCTGCAACTGTTCTTCATATGTTTTAGTCGCCAGGCCTTTAATCATCTTAGTTGCTCTTCTTTGCACTTTTTCCAAAGTCTCAACATCTGTTTTGTAATGTGGTAACCAAAACTGGATGCAGTATTTCATGTGTGGCCTTACTAAGTCTTTATAAAGTGGCACTAATGCTTCGTGTGATTTTGATTCTATGCCTCTGTTTATACAAACAGGGATTTTATTAGCTTTTTTGACTGCTGCTGCACACTGCTGGCTCGTGTTTAAGTGATCGTCCACTAGGACAGGGCTTTTCAACCAATGGTACGGGCACCACGTGTGGTACATTGGCACCTGGCAGGTGGTACGCGACTATCCTAGAAAAGTGGTAGCGGGGGAGGGGAATGAGCTGAACCGATGGCAGCACCGCACAAGCCTGAGCGAGAGATGGCTGGAGTTGCAGGGCTGTCAGGGCTCAGCGGAAGCGCCAGGATCAGTGCCAGGCTCCAGCTGGAGCTCAGCGCTGATCCTAGTGCTTCTGCTGAGCCCAGAAGAAGCGCCGATCAGCTGGAATTGTTGCAGCATCTCCAGTGTCTTGTGATTTACATTCAGATGCTTGGCAACTGATTCATATTTATGACGGTCACAGTGTCCCAGGGTCATGTGAAGTGACCAAAACTGCTGCAATCACCCAGCAGACGGGGGAAATAAAAACCACATACACCCCACCCCACCCCCACTGCCAATTCTCAGCAGAAATACTCACAATGAAAACCTCAGACAGGAGAAAGAGCGCGGCCGGGCGGGCACGCAGGTGTCTTGCTCGGCTGTCGCTTGGGGGACACTTTTTTCAGTGCCATTGTAACTTCGAACAGTCACTAAGTGAACTGTTGTAAGTCGAGGACTACCTGTACTTTATCACTTTTTTCCTTTTTTTGGGGGGGGGTCATCAAGTTTTTGATACCTTGCTAGGCGACTGGTGGTACTCAGATAGTGCCATATCCTAAAAGTGGTACAATGGGTGAAAAGGTTGAAAAGCCCTGCACTAGGACTCCAAGGTCCCTCTCACAGTTACTGTTTTTGAGCCAGGTTTCGCCTAATCTGTACTTGTACCTTTGGTTTTTCCTGCCCAGGTGTAAAGCCTTGCTTTTTTCCACATTAAATATAATTTTGTTGGATAGGGCCCATTGTTCAAGTCTATCAAGATCTTTTTGGATTTTGAGCTTGTCTTCTGGGGTGTTGGCTATTCCTGCCAGCTTAGTGTTATCTACAAATTTGATGAGATCCCCTTGTATTCCCTTATCTAAGTCATTTATGAAGATATTGAAGAGAACTGGGCCTAGGACAGAACCTTGTGGTATCCCACTGCTTATTTTCCTTCATGTAGATGTAGTATCATTAAGGACTACTTGTTGAATATGGTTTGTCAGCCAGTTACAAATCCATCTGGTGGTGATGTTGTCTATTCCACATTTTTCTAGCTTACCAAGAAGTAGGTTGTGGTCTACTTTGTCAAATGCCTTCCTGAAGTCTAAATATACTATGTCCACAGTATTTTGCTGGTCTACTAATTTAGTCACTTTGTTAAAGAATGAAATAAGATTGGTTTGGCATGATCTGTTTTTAACAAACCTGTGCTGGCTACTAGTTATAACTTTATTTGTTTCTAGATGTTCACAGATCTGTTTTTTTATTATTTTTTCCAGTATCTTCCCAGGTATTGATGTTAGGCTGATTGGTCTGTATTTTCTGGGTCTGTTTTTTTTCTCCTTTTTTGAAGATGGGAATCACATCAGTCTTTTCCAATCCTCTGGTAGTTCTCCAGTGCTCCAAGGTTTTTTAAAGATATGATACAATGGTTCTGAGATAACATCTGCCAGCTCCTTCAGAACTCTGGAATGTAATCCATCAGGAACCGGCGATTTATATTCATCAAGGTCAGACAGGTGTTCTCTTACCATTTTCTTGCCTATTTTAATTTTTATTTCTAGTCCATCTTTTACATTTATGTTTTTGGTAAGTTGGGCTGTAGTTTCTTTTTGTGTGAAGACTGATGCAAAGAATGAGTTAAGCAGCTCTGCTTTCTCTCTACTGCCTGCTACATCATCATCATCATCATCATCATCATCATCATCATAATAATAATAATAGTAATAAAGTTGGAAGGGACCTTGGAGGTCATCTAGTCCAACCCCCTGCTCAAGCAGGAAACCCTATACCATTTTGGACAAATGGCTGTCCAGTCTCTTCT